GGTGGTTGTTTATGTCTAGTTAATTGTCGCAAAGTTAAGGTAGGTCCTGTCTTGGTCATATGAGAATTTCCTTGAGATTCACCATTTTGAGAATCATTAGGAACATTATCATCAGGTTCAGCAATATCATTTGTGTTTTTAGAACACAAAGGTTGAGCATCATCTTTCAAATAAATTTAAGTAGGAAGAGATGGTGAAGAGACTGATTTATTGAGCACCTGAAAAGGAAAAATAGAATCATAGAATATAACATTATGAGAAATAATAATATTATAGAAAGATCCAAGACCACAAAACCTTTGATACCCATCTTGTACCCCAGGAAAGCACATTTGCGTACTCAAGGATCAAATTTATGTCTCTTAGCTACCAAAGTGCTTGAGTAACATAGGTAGCTAAATGCATGCAAGGTATGTAGATCAGGTATTCGACCATGTAATCGTTCAAAGGGAGAAGAATTTTTAAGTACTGAACTGGGCACACGATTAATTAAATAGGTAGCATGAAGTACAATATATGACCAATAGGCTTTGGGTAACTTTGATTGAAACATAAGTGCTCTGCTTGCATTAAGAATTTGTTGATGCCTTCTCTCCACACAACCATTCTGTTGAGGTGTTTCAACGCAACTCCGTTGATGGATAATTCCATTAGAAGTATAGAACTCTGACATATTGAACTCTCAACCTTTGTCAACGCGAACTGAACTTCTGCCATTTTGACAAAATTTTGAATATGGGTTTGTACTTCTCTTTTAGTTTTTAGCGTTAACAATCCATATATATCATGAATAGTCATCAAGTATAATTAAAAAATAGTGAAAACCTTGTATTGAAATAACAAAATATGGGGGCCCTATATATCAAAATGCACAAGATCAAAAATCCTTTCTACATTACTTTTACTGATAGCGTATGGTAAACGTTTCTGTCTAGAGTAATGACAAACATCACATGCTATGTGTTTATACAAAGGAATATATGTGTTTACTCTCGATCTTATACTTCACCTACGTATCAGTTCTATTCTTAGCTTTCTATGGCAAGAAATTCAAGTGGGGCTCAGGCAGAGATCAACAAGCACAAATAAACAATGAAGATAGCAATCAAGATCAAGGAAGTCCTTTCTATATCCATCCAAATAAAAGTCCGACCACAATCATTGTTTCAGCAGTCCTTTCCAGTGAAAATTATCATTCATGGACTCGTACGATAAGGAGAGTTCTTGTTTAAGGAAAATAAGTTATGGAGATGTGAATGAAAGGTAAGAGAAAAAAAATGAAAAAAAAAATTAAATTACTTGAAAAGTTTGATATAATATAATGTGTTTTTATCAGAATTTGTAAAGTGAAAAAAAAAATAGTGTAGTTAATGTTTTTGACAAAAAAAAACATTTATTTGAAACACTTTATAAGATAAGGGATCAAAATGAAAAAAATAAAATAAAACAAAATCAAATATTAAGAAATTAAATTAAAATTTGAGTGCATATTCAGTAAAAAAAAAAATATTTACATTATCAATAAATTAAATTTTTTCATGATTATATTTGTTTATAGTGTTTATGTATTTAAATTAAATTCTTATTTTATTTACAAACCTTCGACGTGAAATTTTATTTAAAAAAAAAATCAAATCGCTATATGCGAAAAAATATCCTTTGCGATCACTTTATCACAATATTCAATCTCAACTATTAGATATATATTGTTATAACATTTTATTAAATAATATATTTTAATAAATTTGAATGGTCAGATTGAATAGTGTACACCTCTTAGTGAAATTTACACATGAGAGGATCCTAGTCCATGTATTTGAAGCAAAACATGAGTCTTCTCCATCATTTGTGCCTTTTTGGTCTTTTACCTTTTATTATATTGTTTTAAATTGGTTAAATTAAAAATTGAGTTCTTACATTTAATAATTTTTTGGTTTAGTCCTTACAAAAAAAATTCTATAATTTGGTTTTTATATAAACAAAATTATAAATTAGCTTCTTTCAATTGTTGAAACTATAAGGGTGTGGGAATATTTTTTTCTATGGGAACTAAATAAAAAGTTATTAAATGTAAGGATTAAGATGTAGATATTTTTTTATGTAAAGAGTAAATTAAAGTCTAAATTTATTTCATATGAGTAAAATGAAAAATATTATAAGTATAGAAATTAAATCCAACAACGTGGTAATGATTAGGATTAGGATATATATATATATATATATATATATATATATATATATAAAATAAGTGGAAAAAATAAATTTTTAATCTTAACATTTTAAATTTTAATAAAAAGTATTTTAAGAAGGCTTGATTTGATGTATATTCCCTATAGTTTATGATTTGTGTGATTTTGATTTCTTCAGTTTTAACTGATCGAATTTAATCATTTTACTTTTATAAATATTTAAATTAAGTACCACTTTAAAAGTTAATTCAATAACAAAGAAGGAAACAGGTTAAGTTAGGCTAGGCTTTGCATAGATAGACTTGGCTTATTTAATAATTTTGAAACCTAAGTCTAGTCTTTTATCTGTCATAGATTTTTTATTAACTCTAACTTGATATTTTTAAAAGTTTGATTTGGCTTATTAGCCTTTTAATAGTGTATTTTGAGACATTCAATAGGTCATTAATTAAGCTATTTTGGTTATCAAACCAAAAATATGTATGCCTTTTTTAAATTCATAAGACTTATATCTAAATAAATTATTAGAGAGTATATAGTAGAGATCTCTTCATCTCTAATGAAAGGGATTAAAATTTTTAATTTAAGATTTTATCATTTTAAAATTTAAATGATTTAATATATTATTATATTATAGTTTTTGTATAAAACTATTTAACATATTATTACAAATTTTAAATATGTTATTCTAATAGGCCTAATAAACTTTTTCTTAAGCTCAAGTCTAGCCTATTTAATTAATTAAGTTTTTTAGAAGATTTAAATTAAGCTTATTAATTAAATAGGTTAGGTCGGACTAAACTTTAAAAAGGTTAGGTCGTAGGTTTTCATCATACGACTTGGCCTATTTCCATCTTTATTCAATAATCATAAAAAAATTATAACAAAAAATGTGACATATTACTGATTAGTATAAATTTTTTTGAGAAAAATGTATAAAATATTTTTTAAAAAAAGAAAATATATAGAAAATATATATTACATAATAAAATTATTTTTTATTTTATTTTATTTAATAGATCACACAAATGTGATATTTTAATTAGTTTTAGATAAAGTTTTTGAGTGGAAGACTTAATAATTTAAACGAAATAATTTAAACAATTAAAACTTATGAGATCTAGATGTTTAAAATCTCACATAAATTTAAGTACGAAAAAGGAAAATAAAATTAAGCTTTTTAAGAAACTAGTGAGTTGTTTGTATATTACAGTTGTATTATTAATTTAAAATAATCTTTTTGAGTATAAAACTAAAGGTATATTCTTAGTCTATTTTTAAATTAATAAATTTTACAAATTCAATAAAATAAATATTTTTTAGTTTCAACTACTAACTGAAAATGATTTTATCATTTTTGTCCCTATTATTTTTAAGTAATTCCTTTTTTACTCAATGAGTTTCTTAAACCCTACTTTCTTTACTTTTGTTACGGTAAAAGAAAGAAAATATGTCACTAATAATAACAAGTAAATAAATAAATATTTATATTTTAGAAACTAATAAATTTTTTATATATTGAAATAGATTTAACAAGTCACTAAATCCTATTTTTTCATAATAATTTTTTTATAAATAAGAGTAGGATTAGAAATTTATGGTTCTAATTTGATGATAAAAATTTTAAGTAAATTAAAATATAAAAATTATAAATTTTGAAAATGTATAATCTTTAATTTTTAAATTTTGGTCTAATTAGTTATAATGCCCTTATTTATCATTTTACATTTACTAGTCAACCTAATTGTAAAACACTTTTAGTTCAATTAGTTAGCTTTTATGCTTAAGCTAATATGGTCATTTTGCCAAATACACCCTTAAAATAGCTCCTAAAAACACTATCATTTAAAACGTACAATATATAGATAGTTGGTAGATGATTGTTTAAGAATAATATTTTAAAAGTAAATTTACAAAAAAAAAAATTGTTTAGAAGGTAAAATAAAATCACTTTAGAATGATAAACACAATTATGGTTTTGAAAAAATTTCTGAATTTTGCAATTAAAATTAATTTTACATAGTGAAAAAGTTAAAAGCTTTTACTCTTTCAAAATAATTATTTCTACCTCAAACTCACTTCTATTGATGGTGAAAATAAATCAAACAAAAAAAATTACATCCTTATCAATATTTTCTTTCTTGATTTCTTCTCTATGTTTTTTCCTCTGCTCCAAACCAAAAAATTTGAACCAAATGGAGTTGAAGAGACAGCTTTCATAACCTCAGTCTTCAAGCTCACACAAGTAGACCCTCGATTCAAAATATCACACTTTGTGGGTGAAACCAAAATAATGTATAATACAGATCATTTTTTCATAATAAAATATTAAAAAATTATCAGTACTTTACATAAGAGAACGGGTCATGAAAGTAATATCTAATCCACAAGTTCATAAAGCTTGAACCTGTGCCTGTCTCTGAGGTGTAAGATGTTGGTAATAGTAGCATATAAGTGAATATCCATTTATCCTTTATGGATAGAGCCTTGTAAACAGAGGCAAATAAAATTAAAGACTGAAACTTTACAGTCTACTTTCTTTGAATGATACTTCCTGAGTAAGCAGAACACATTTACAAGACAATGGAGGAACTAATCCGTGTTGAACACATCCTACCACAGGATTAACATCAATCCCTTTGTTATCTTATTTCCTACTTTATGATTTAACCCAATTTTTCTTTGAGCCTATTTTCTTATGATAAGAATTTAAAATGAAAAAAAAAAAAAAAACTGGGATACATGTTCAAAACAGACAATGGAATGATATGAACCTGATTGCAGAGTTAACTGTTTGAGAATGGAATCCAATCAAAGCAAACTGCTGAAATTTTCAATGGGATCGGATTCTTGAAGCATGAAGGCTGCCTGGAAGCAATCAGCAGCATCACCTACTCGGCCGTCATCCTTGTGAGTTAATCCCAGGTAAAACCAAGACAGGTGGTTAGTGGGTTCGATTCTAAGTGCATCTGAAAGTAAGCTTCTAGCAACAGGCAAAGCTTTAGAACTCATTTTCAGCATCAAATTAGCCATCAAGTTCTTGCTTTGCACATAGTTTGGTCCAAATAGAACAGCATTGGCAGTAGCAGCAAGCGCTTCTTGATTTTGTCCCCGACCTTCCAGTATGACAGCTGTTACAATCATTTTGGAAAATATAAAATGTCTACGATGAGGTAAATCCCCTCAAATATTAACACCATGAAAGCAGATAATTCTTAGTTTTTGCTTCATTCTAGCTTATGATGAGCTGATGCTTTACAATATATAAGTTAATATGTGGAGATTCTGCCTTAGGCCAATGACCACCGGTGACAGATCCAAAAATCCTGGGTAGAGGGAATAAGTGAAAGGACATTATCACATGAGAATTAATAGTGTGGTGAAATTTACTCTTTCATTCGTGTAACGGAGAAAACATTTCAAAGACAATGGAGGCTTAAATAACAAATTACAACTATAGTACTAACAACTTTAATCGTTGAGTGGAGCCATTTTCCCTCACATTGCTAAATGTGTGTCCATCACTGATGATCACATCCATAAGTACTCTCCCAATATGATTGAATAACAGGTCCTGCTTACCCCCATGATATCTCAATTTGATTAAAACAGGAGGGAAAACATAAGTCGTACACACAAAAGCAGAAAAATTTTACAGCATAAAAGTTAGGTTCTTGCCTTCTGTGTGTATTGTTGGTGCTGAGTATTCCTGCAACTCTGTGGCCTTCTGTAAACAGATTTCGGCATCCTTCCAATGAGAAAGGCTGACATATAAATTTGCCAGACCATGCCAAACATCATATTCATTTATTTTATCATCATCAACCTACAAAGAGTTAATAAAATAAAAGTAAGATTAGTTTTGGAATCGGCAATTTATAAATGAAGAGTCCCACAAGGCAATGAACGTCTCTGGGGAAACTCATACTTGTTTTTCCTTCATCCCCATTGGACAAAATCTTCCTTTCTGTACAGTAGTGTATTAAAAATATTCTCAGAATATTGTAGAGTATCTTAGATTATTTTCCTTATTTCCCTGGTTTTCATATTTTCTTATTACCTGATGATTTTTTTCCTTGTTTAGTTAAGATTATTAGTGTAAATAATGGATACTTTATGGTTTATCATTACATTGCAATTAGGGAATAGGGATATAAATGAGCTGAGTTATTTGTGAAATATTCGTGCTTGACTCTTTAAATGTTTGGCTAAGCTTATTTATTTAGTTTATCAAACAAGCTCAAGCTTAAAGTTAGACTCAATTATTTAAATTGATTAAACCCAAGCTTTGTAAGATTGATAGCTCATAAATAACTCGCATATATTATAAATATGCATACTTAAATAATTATAACTTTATTTATTATATTTACTTAAAATTTATATTTTTATTATTATTACCAAGTAAATTTTCAATAGTCATATTTTAAACAAATAATCATAATTTTAAAAAAAAAATACCATTTTCAAAATATTTTTTTAATTTTTAACCTTAATTCATCTTCATGTAGATAAAATTATATTTTATTGCTATGTTACTTTACTTTTTACTTTTAGCATATAAATATTCATTAAATATTAGATTAATACAGAATTATTCAAAACTAGTAAAAAAAAACCAAAATATGAGCAAGTCAATGAGTAAAGCTCAATCTACAAAACTTTTAATTAAGTCAAACTCAAGCTTTAAATCTAGCTCATTTAAACAAATGAGCCAAGCTTGATTTAAATATTCAGGTTGACTTCACTCATTTACACCCCTAACTGCAATACATCAAGTAATAAATATTAAGTTAATATCAATTTCAAATTATTTAATATCTATTCTTTCATTCTACATTTATACCTAAACCCTATAATTTCAAGTTCAACATTGTAAAACCAAAAGAAAGATGAAGCAAGCATTCTTAAATTAATGTAAGTAATGGCAATAAAAGCAGCCATCAGAAGAAACAAAAGCATAAATGGAGACATTAAAAAAACATAAAGAGAGCGAGATAGTCTGGAATTGTTCAAGTGAAATTGATAGTATCTTACATAAGTTATGTGATAAGAACCTTGAGAAAACCACACCACAAAAGCTAGCTATTGCAGTGGGAGAACCCAAGGCCTTATAAAGCCCACATTAGAATCTCACACTTCCAATGTGGGACTCAAGTCTCATACCTTGCAATTGGATCCTAACATCCCACCACGCTCCACAGTCCTGGCACTCACGTGGGTTGGCTGTTCACGCTATTTGACTATTCCCAAGAAAACACTGCAATGCCGGCATCACCACCTGTGCCCGCTCATTTGCAGCTGGGAGACATGGTAGAAGACTTTACTACCAATTGAAAAGAACTTTGGGAGAACCACACTAAAAAAACTAGCTATTATAGTAGAAGAGCCCAAGGCCTTATAAACCCCATATTAGAATCCCATACTTCCAAAATGGGACTCAAGTCCCATATCTTGCAATTGGATTCTAACATCCCACCACGCTCTACAGCTGTGGTGCTCACATTGGCTGGCTGTGCTACTAGTTGACAGAATTGGTTCGATATAGATGGAAAACAAAACAATCTGATCGGTGCTCACATGGGCTGGCTGTGCTACTAGTTGATAGAATTGGTTCGATATAGATGGAAAACAAAACAATCTGATCGTATTATTCACAATGTCCCCCTGATCAAGGCGATCAAGAGACAAAAGAAAAATGTTACATAGTTCACAAGGTATTTGAGAGATCCTAGACTCTCTCCAACCTTACAATGATGCTGTTCCTTCTTATCTTCTTTCCTATCATATTCCCTTTTTATATACAATTTCTTACTAACCACCTCTAACTAATTCAGTAATTTGGGTTCTGACCCCTTACCCCTCTCTTAATCCTTTTAACATACACTTGCTTTATTAATGGTTTGCTATCATTATGTAAAACATTTTTATATACAGACTATTTATAGACTAATTGGGGTCTATTTCCCAGGCAACCAGTAAATGGGTTACTTCCTAAATACTAATACCCATGAAAACTAAATGCATTTAACATGTGATGCATGAACTGCAGGTTATTCCAACAAGGGCATTGGATTGACACCAATATTATAGGAAACCCACTTCCGTCATTACATAAATTTAACTACTAGCATAATGTGAAGCCAAACTCATCACCATTATAGGATGTGATTGAAATGATTTAATCAAATTGCTATCATAATTAACCACTCACATCAAAATTACATCATCATCATCATCATCATCATCATCATCATTGTTTGATAATACATCTCATTAAATTTAAGCATAAAATTTACTAGAAGAGAAGAATGCAGAATGCCAGAATCATACCTGTGAACTATGTTTGAGAGACCCAAATGATTTCTTCTCAGCTTGAACCAATGCAAGAAGGTACCGATAAATTTCAATAGCATCCATGGGTCGTAATTGGATGAACTTTAGCTGGGCTTTCAGCTTCAACAATATCCCCTGCTCCCATTTTGCAGTCTCATCCAAAGCAGCATCAGTCACCACTTCAGCTTCCGAATACCTTTTCTGTGCAGACAAAACTAGAGCAAGCAATCTCCAACCTTTCACTTTAGAGCCACCAGTTCTGTCAAAAAACTGTTTGGCATACCGTAAAGCAGTAGTCAAATTTCGGTGCTTAGCATATTGAATAGCCAATTCAAAAATAAGATCAGAATTGTTCTGCTCCAGTCTAACTGCCTCGTCCAATGATTGCAGGGCTTTGGATTGAAGCATTGATCTCTCAAAGTCGGAGGAAGCAACATTAGCTTGCTTTCCTAGGCAAAGTCCCAGCATGCGAAGACCCACGCCTTTCAAATGATCATCTATGCCCAGAGCATTATCAATTGCCCTCTGTGCATAGCCTGCTCCCTCAGCAGCAAGATGAGGATCCTCACTGCAAATCCTGGCAGCAAATAACAATGATACAAGGTCATTTGGTCGTTCATGTTTATGCAAAGCCATCCTTAGTAGATTCAAAGCAGTTTTATTTTCTCCAGCTCCACTATGACATAGAGCTAAAGAATTCCAACGGTCAATACGGTGATATACCCCAGGCATCAACTCTTCAAATTGCTTTCCTAAAATAGAAGTCTGACCACATGCTGAAAGTGCAAATGTCAGGTGTTCCATAATTGAAGGATCCCACTTAGTCTTACCAAGGCTAAACTTTCTCAAAACAATCATTAGAAGAAGAATTGCCTCTTCCAGATTATTTTTGGGTACATAAGACCCTTCAATCTGAACAGCTAAAGTGGGGGGACTTGCCTCCACCCCACTGTACAGCAAAAACACAGCAAATGCCTTTTGAATTCTCGCACAACATTCATTATCAAGGTTCCATTGACTAAGGAGGGCATTCCTATAGGCAGACAGCGCCTCATTATAGCAACCAGCCTGTTTCCAAAGTTCTGGAAGGAGCTCTACTGCATGGCTGACTATCTCCTGCAATTTATTGTCTACTTGTGTATCAGGTATACCCTCACAAAATATCTTCTCAACAGCATCAAGAACACGCTTGCATTCAGTAGCAGCTTCTGCATGACTCCATGAAAAAATCATTTCAATGTGTATTAATTTGTTTGGAAATAGAATATTAAAGATGTAGGAGGAACAGAGGATTCATTCCCATTCAGAAAGAGAAGAAAGAAAAAGTAAACAGCAGGATAGTCGTAGCAACATTCAATACCCGTAAATTTTCTGAGTTTTTGGAGAGACTTGGCTTTTAAGTAGATGGCTTCAAGCACCAAACTAGCAGCATGCTGCGAGACTGAGGAAGGTGATTCAGAGCGAGTTGGACCTTTCTTAACAGGTGGCTTTTCAGAAAGGGAAGATTGCAGTCGCTGTATGGCTGCTTGAAGATCAATTCCATCAAAAACACGAAGAGCGCCTTCGACATTGCCTCTCTGATACTCTAACTTTCCAAGAAGAGCCCTTGCTTCCTTTTAAAGTTAAAGTGACCAAGGAGCAGATCTCAAACATATTATTGATTTATCACATAAAATGGTTCTGCCATTCAATCCCAAGAAGAAACGAGGTATACCAGATATTCATATTTACAGGACATTCAATGGGTTTTTCATTTCAAATTTACATATTGCATCAAATTTGCCCATTATTTTTGTTTTGGCATTTTTATATGGTTTCAAATCTAATTATGAGTACTGCAGTACATGTATATAAATTGTAATATATTGTATGTGATAATCTCAATATATAGAAAAACAAAAAACTATGCTGCCTCACAATAAGAAATTTTATTTTGTGAGAAGGTATTATAAGGTTTGAATCATTTTAAAATGAACTCACTAGTAGCTTAACGTTTATTAAAATGAAAAAGGAAAAAGTTACAGTTAACAAGATAAGGCATTGCAAATTTTTCTTCGTAAAAAATTTGTCACTATTTTGCTGATAGCTTATCCTTAGTCCATAAACCTTGAAACATCAAACAACTGAATCCTAGAATCACCCAACAATTTCCTTCTTGTCACAAACGTAATCAAAGATCTGAGAATCCACCTGCCCCCCAAGGGAGAAATTGCCAACAATTTTGACGATTAACAAGTTCCAACATATTGCAACAGAAGGTTGGGAATTGGAACCACAGTTTTTACGCCTCAGACAAAAGTTAATAAGAAACTGAAAATAAACGAAAAAACCAATTGCATATCCAATCATATTCAATTCAATAAAACCACTCTAACACTTATTTCCTTCAATGCTCTACCAATTCAAAATGGTAATCACCCCAATGCAATTCAGAGGGATATTGGTTTTGCTGTTGTTACAAAGATTAAATATAAAATTAACAAACAAAAACGAACCTCAGAATTGATTGACAACCCTTCACGTAACGCTGCTTCAGCTTCTTGAATGTTTCCTTCATCGAGCTTGGCCTCAACTTCTGTTGCTTTTACGCAACTCCCATTCGCGCAGAACTCACGAACCGTCACGCGCTCGTTCTCCCCGGACTCCATCAATCATTTCCTCGCCACCTGCACACACGCGCACACGTTAACCTTTCCTCGTAAGCTTCATTTTATTAATTTCATTCTCGACGTTGATCGAAACGGATCCAAACAATGTCGTTCGAGATTGATGTGTTTCATATCAGTGGCGAGACAACACCGGAAAGAAAAAGAAAAAGAAAAGCCGTCGTTGTGAACAGAGATTAACGAGAAACAAAACAACAGTGGATGGAGAAGGGTCAGAAACAGGACCTTAGGCCTTGTCAAAACAATGTGGCTTTGGAACAGCGATCTCTGGGGTCTGTTTGTTTGGTCTTCGATTTGGTTTTTTGTTGCAAGAAATGTCTCAATGCAGTTTGTTTTGTCTTTCTTTGTTTTTTCTTTTAAATAGACACAAAAACAAAATAGTGAGGAGGAGGGATGGGTGGGGGCGACCAAACCGCTACCCTACAAAATCTGATTTAGATTCGTGAATTGACCAAAAGAGAGTCGTGAGTTCAGAACTTAAAATGCTTACATATAATTGGAAAATAATAAAGTTTTATCCCAAAATGAAGCATTTATTATACTTTTTTTTAATATATAATAATAAATTTTTTTTAATGCTTAAAACTATTTTTTAAACCTGAACTGAACAAAACTGAATATAATTTTAGTTCTTACAAATATAACTCTATTTTAATTTTATTTATTTCTGTCTTTATATAATTAATAGAAATTGTGTGTTTTTAGTTTTTCGCTAAAAACTAAAAGAATATAAATTTTATGATTTTAAGATCTGTAAAAAATAAAATTAAAAAACTAAAGAAATATCACATTTTAAAATATTAAAAATATATCTAAATTCCAGTCAATGTTTTATTTTAACCCTATTTTTTTCTAATATTTTATATGAAAAGAGTTAATTTCTCATACTGTACACAAGTTTAAATATAAAATTAATTTTAATATACATTTTAATTATATTTAATAATTTTAAATCGATTAAAATAAAGAATGCTCTTATTTGTCTCCAGTCTTTATTTCATCTATAATTTATGTTTTTTTGGATAAGATTTTGAGAAAAATAACCACACATTTTATCTTAGCAAAATATTTAAATAAAAAACGATACTTGAAAAATATTATTAAAACATTACAATATATTCAAGAAAAAAAAATCAATCCCTTAAATTCAATTCCAAATAGTCATCTCCAAACCGATAAATCTATAAACATAGTCTATTAAAAAATAAATATATCAAATTCTTCTTTAATCAAATCTTATTTCCAATCAGTTCATTCACAAATTAACTATTCTTCTTTTTCATTTTCACTTTTGTTAACTCATTTTATATTACTGAAATTCTTAAAAACTGAAACATATTCTTGAGACATAGTAATAAAACTTAATCATATCTATATTTACAAAGTAATAATCTCATTTCCTACGAACAAAATAAATTTTTTTCTTTATTATTTATGCTCATTCATTTTCAGTTGTTTTAACATTTAATTTGAAGAAAATGGATTTAATATGAGATATATGTTTATAATTAAAATATATTTAAATATTTAATTATTTTTTCTATTTAAAATTTACAAAACTTGACACAAATTGTTAATAAAATAAATAGTCATAATTTAATAAAGTTATGGAATAATATAGAAATATTACGTTTAATTTTTATCAGAATAAATTAAATTTTCCTTGTATTATTGTTATTATTATTATTACAATATATCTTTTGTGTATCAAATATAGATGAATGGGCACAGCAAAATTATTCTGTACGTATGAAAAATTACTCCCTTATTCAAAATATGTAGGACATTCACAAGCTGAAGCCATTTTGCATCATATTCTTCAGCACCTAAGATGAATTTTTCAAATCTATAACAAATCAAACTAAAATATACAAGAAAAGGAATTATGCATTACATGCACGTATTCTCAATTAAACATGAAGTAAGGTTTTTGAGCTTTTGAAGGGTTTCTATTACGCATATAATCATTATATTAAATTTCAAATGATAAACTATATTGTAAAAATAAAAAACATGTGTATATTAATTTGATTTAATATGACTTGTATGTTTTTGCAAAAGAATAGAAACATGTAACTATATATAGTCTAAGTTTAACAGAAAAAGACCAAAATAGACAGAGAAAAACTAATTAAAAACAAATAAAAGACAAGTGTAGTAACTTAAAACTATAGCAACTAAACTAAAAAGAGAATATTAATTCTCTTATTAAGGAAAATGTTTATTCTAAGTCCTTAGATTGGTGGAAGGTAATGGAATGGAGAAAAATAACATGAAATGTGAAATAAATATATTTAAAAAAAGAGTTGAATTGAGTTTTTACCATTTTAAAATTAAATATTTTTAAAAATATTATTTTAATAAGTAAATATAAATTGTCGTTTTGCCATCAAATGGTTCAAATAAAAGAAAAACTTCAATTCTAATACTCCTTTAAATTATAATTAAAGTAAAAAAAATAAAAGAAAAAAATGAATCAAGATATATATTGGTTCGCTACAAAGCAGTAGAGATACATTCAGTCTTTGACTCATCTTTAAGATTTTTACTATGAGATAAGCTTTACAAAGTATTTCACTCTCCAAATATTTTTGCACACGTCTTTCCATACCTAATAGCTCAAGTATTCTATTTGTTACCTCTCCAGGCTTTTCACATACTTAAGTACTTTTGCTACAACTTCAACATGATTAACACAAAATGAATTTAGAAAGAGAATTTTAATTCTTAATATTTACATGAAAGCAAAAAAAAATAGAACATTCATTACCATCTCGTTGTTGTCTTCAGCACAGATAGTTCTCTTTATATAAGCTCTAATATAGTTGTATATATTTAAGACATTCATGGGTCTATTGGACACAAACTATACTCTCTTTTTTTTAAGTCTTCTAATTTACTCAACATTTTTCTTTGACAAAAGTATTTTCTAAACAAGTCTGCTTTTATCTTTATTAAAGAAGTATTTTGTAATCTTTAACATATAATTTTGTTTCTTTGGTCAACAACCACATTTAATTTGCTACGATGTTATTGGTTACTACTCTTTATTATTCACGAAATTATATCTGCTTTAATTTAATATGATTATATTTTTTTTTTCATGTTTTTGTGTAAATATTTATTTTTTTTATATATTTAAATTTTGAGTTTTTCTTGAACTCTCTCTAATAATATATATTTTATTTATAAAAAAAATGTTTTATTTATTTAGTCTAAAATATTTAATAAACTAATAAAATAATAATATATAATTCATTTAAGATTTAATGATTTTTGTATATCATAATTCTATAAGAATGTTCTCTGAAGGATTAATTGTCTTGGTTCAAACATGATATCTAAATTCATTACTTGGGGTAGTGAAACGAGGATGATATATAATAGAATTTTTTTCATTCTTATCCATTATTTGCGTTTATTTTTCTTCCCTCCAGTTTAGAAGGAATGAAATGAAATTAAAAATGAATTTTTATAATTTTTTTTTTATCTTTGTGATATTTTCAATATTATGTACTCATAAATTATATTTCAATTAGACGTATTATTGTTGCACTTCTATTTACATATGTCAACCTTCTTGTTTGATCATCACTATTTTCTTCTTGTTATGTTTTTATTGATTGGCCATTTTTCTGTATGTTACACAATAATTAACTTTAATATTTAAATATAAAGTATTAAAATAAAAATAAAAATAAAAATAAAAAGTGTCAACATATCAATTTAAAAAAATATATTTAATTTTTGAAAGGAATGTTTGATTGATATTCTTTTTTCTCAAAAAAAGATTTTTTTAATTTTTCATAAACTGGGAATTTTCAAAAGAAACACGAAAGATGATATTCTTGTTATAATATTTTAAATTTTAAGTAAATGATATTTGTTGAAATGATTTTTTGGTTTGTATTAATTAATTTGTAAACAATTTTTTACAAAAAAATAATTTTAATGTATTTATTTTAGATTTTTTTATTAATTTAAAACTTCATATTCAAATTTATATATAATTAAATTAAAATTAGATTGATATTATTCAAATTAATATATATAAATAGTATACATAGTTAATTTTTTTAAAATAATTAGTTAAATTAAATTTGATACATTTAAAAAAAAGTGTCATTTTCTTTTGTGATAACATTATATTTTAACCATTTTCATGTTGTAACACGCAACATAAATCCTTACACGACCAGTGTAATTCAGGCTTTTTCACGTGGTCAGTAATATAATTTATTATTATTATTATTATTATTATTATTATTATTCACCAGAAAAAAAGTATAACTTTTTTTTTCTCTCTTCTCTATTTTTTTTTATTATACACTCTCTTTCTTATTTCTTTCCTTATATCACTTACATGTTTAATTATATGCAATCCAAGGCATGTGGAGAAAAAAATAAAATAAAATATATAAATTTAAATAATATACATATTTTAAAGTTATTTTTAAAATAATTAATTAAATAAAATTGGTACATATATAAAAAGTATCATATTATTGTATTTTTCTGTGTTGCCTTCGTTGATAGGTTAAAAATATCTTTTTGTACTTTATAAATAATATTTCTTTTTATTCTTATGAAATGTTTTAATTTAATTTGTACATATAATTATTTTTTATTTGGTACTCTTAAAATTTTAGAACTTAATAATGAATTCTTTTTAGTAAAATTTAAAAATATTGAAGATTATAAATATGCTCTCTTTGAGGATTCCTGATTAATGTTAGATCATTACCTCATGGTTTAGAGGTGGAGGCCCTTATTCAAGCCACAAGATTACTGCCTTAGGAAAATTGCTGTGTGGGTGCATGTTCCTGATCTGCCTTTAGAATTATATAATAAAAAATTTCTCTGGTAGGTTGGTATTTGCTCAAGGACTAAGTAAAAAATAGTACCTAGGAGAAAATTTTCTAGACTCTGTATTGAGCTTGACCTCGGTAGGAAGTTAATTCCCTCCATTATGGTTTTGGGTT